TGGCGAGGAAGTGGATGGCGAGGAAGTGGATGGCGAGGAAGTGGATGGCGAGGAAGTGGATGGCGAGGAGCAGGATAAACAGAAGGTGGACAACGAGAGGGTGGGCAGCGAGAAGGTGGGCAGCGAGAAGGTGGGCAGCGAGAAGGTGGGCAGCGAGAAGGTGGGCAGCGAGAAGGTGGGCAGCGAGAAGGTGGCTGGCAAGACGCTATCCCAAAGTCAAGAGGTCTACAGCAACGATCTCAGCGACAACGAACAAAGTTGTATGCATCATGACATTAGGGTTCTGTAATCCCTCTCTGTTGTACATGAAGAAGCGCTCTGGCGCTCTGGCGCCACCTATGATTGTTGCGCTGAATTCCCGTATCCCATCCCATGCCGTGTCCCTCTTTGAACGCCAACGTGAATACCGAAACCCGAACTAAAAGCAAAAGTCTATCCCAATCCGAACTGAAAGCCGCAGAGAAAAGAAATTCGTAAAGTCATTAAACCCCGTCCCCAAAAGTCTTTCGTCGTCATCAAACCCCGTCCTCAAAGTCTTCGTTGTCATCAAACGGCATCTTCAAAGTCTTCGTTGTCATCGCTGTCGTCTTGGAATGCGACGCTGTGTTCTCTCTTCAGGCCGACAACAGGAGCAGGTGCGTCCACTTCGACGTCCTCAAAGTCTCCTTCGTCTTCGTTGTCCATGTCTTCAGCGCCAGAGTCTTCTGATGGTGCCATGGCAGTGCCGTTGGCGACTGCTCCTGCTTCACCGAGATCAGATGTGGAGGCATTGCTGTTGTTGTGTAGTGTGTTTGTGATCCAGTCTGGTAGCTGGTTCTGCTGGGCGAGCTGCTTGCGTCTGGTTTCACGCCGCTCGGCCTCTTCTCTCTCTTGGTCTTCACTCGTCGTGAGGTTGACGGTGAGGTTTTCTGATTTCACGAGCTCGGGCTGTCCGTGTTTCTTGAGGTTCAGGCCCGGTCGGTTGAGAGTCATGTATTGTGTCTCGGCTGTGTCCTGCCGTCCGCTGCCATGAGGGCGGGGAACATATTTTCTTCTGTCCCACGCGCTCTGGAAGTCGTTTTCGGGTATGTCTTGCCGGTCGATCTTGAGGATCATGGCGTCGAATTTCTTGAGTTGGTCGTTCAGCTTGCGGATCTTCTCGTGGTTGCTTCTGTCCATGTTTGTCCGTGCTGCCTGCTCGTTCTGTGCAAGGGTGGCACCGCATCTGTCGCAGTAGAAGCCGTCCTCGTTGACTTTGTCAAGGATGTCGAGCTCTTCATATTCAGCTTTGCAGCGAGGGCAGCGCCAGTCTTTCCGCTTGGTGTTCTCATCTTGCTGGTAGAGTGCCTCGACTTTCTTGCGCAGCTTGGCAATCTTGTATTTGATCGCGTCGATCGCAGGATGGAACGGACAGTAGTAGTATTCTCGAGAAGACGGTCTCGCGCCAGTGACTTTTTGTTCAGCTCTTGCTCCGGTGGCGATCAGGCGTGCGTTGCGGAGAGGGTTCAGCAGTGCTCGGATGTCTTTGGGTTGTGATTGTAGCAGGAGATTCAGATCATCCATTTGCAGCACAGAGTGTAGGAGAATGGCGTCGATGATGAGGATTTGTTTGGGGTGTGTGAAAAAGGTCCGCACAGCCGTCCTCAGGAGCTCTTTGGCGGCCTCCATAGCTGGTTGCTATGGTTGTTGGGAGGAGGAAGAGAGGAGAGAGTTGAGGATGTCCATGTACATGACATCGATGTCGTTGGGGTCCAGGCCCTCTGCAAGCGCCTGGTCACGTGCTTTTGTGTACGCGGCCAGGATCGTGTCAACTCTGGTGAGGGCTTATGTCAGCATGCCGTTTGCGGAACAAAAGACAAAGGGCGTTATAGGCTCGGGATACTTACTCCTCTTGTTGTGCTCCAGGAGCACGCCCCTCCACGGCCGCCGACGGTGCCCGAGAGGACACCCGAGAAGACGCCCCCGCACCGCCCGACGGTGCCCGGGAAGACACCCCCAACGACACTGCCGCAGCACCCGAAGGTGCCCGGGAAGACACCCGAGAAAACGCCCCCGCTGCACCAAAAGACAACCCCGCAGCGCCCGAAGACGCCCGGGAAGACGACTCCGAGGAGCACACCACCGAGTACCACTCGCTGGCGCCGGATGGCACCCGCGAGGCAACGGGGGAGGCGGCGGCGGTGGTGGTGCCATGCACCAGCGAGAAGACCACAGTTGTTGCGCTCGATGGCGCGCGGAAACTCCTCCGGGTCAGGGAGGGCGGGACAAAGGTTTTAGTGGCCTCGGCCACCGGCGTCTCAACTGGCCCCTAACCAGTTGGCGCTGGCGACGCCACCCTTGACATGGGCGGCGTTGGGAGGCGGGAGGAGGGAGAGGAGGCAGGCACCGGCAAGACTGCCGGGCGGGCGGCAGGGAGGGTGTCGTCGTCACCGACGACACGCGAGCAACGAGACAAAAAGCAGCCCATTGTGATGATGGTGGTGGTGGTTGTGTTATGTTGGTGTTGGTGTTGTTGTGGGTGTTGGTGCTGCTGTTGGGCAGGAAGCTCTCTCAAGTTCAAGTATGGACGATAGAATAGGAAGAGAAGAAAAAAAAGAGCTCAGCTGGGCGAGAGCAAGAGTTTTGATCAAAATTTCTCGCCTTGCTATAGGACGGAGCAATCTTGCGAAGGTCTTCATCATCTGGCAACTCTTTGCCATAGACGGGCATCGTCTTGAAAATTTTTTCTTGCCAGCCATCCTGCCACCGTCTTTCTCTTTCTCACGACTGGGTGCCAAGGTGTAAAGAGTGCTCCATGCCAAGAACGAGCTGACGAGATGCAGAGAGTGGTATGCCGGAGCGGACCACCTATTGTTCTGGTCAACGACTTACTCTGTCCATCCGCGTACAGCAGAAATGTGGTTCTTCATGGTGCGAGCAGCAGGCTGCCATTGAGGGAGGGAGGCTGGTGGAGGGGTGTGAGGGGCATTTGATATCGATCGCTCCCGGGTCACCGAATGTGGTATGGTCGTCAGATCTCAAAGAGGTGGAGTCGGGTTGATCAATCCGAGAATCCACCAAGCCTCGTCGGCTGTCGGCAAACCCTACCTCTAGCGAACTCGTTCGGCTCTCTCATGCTGCTCGAACGTTGAACATCCCCGCCTAATCATGCTCCTGTCGGCGCTGCTGTGCCGTGGTACAGAGCGAAAGAAGAATTTTTTTCAGTGCCGGCACATCAGATATCTGCTCTGAATGCGAAGGCATGTTCTTGGGTTTGCATGGGAACCCCTGCTTAGTGGGGTTGGCCAAGGCTATGTGGGGGCTTTCGCGCTGGATACCAGCCTTGTGCGTTGAACTAAAGATTCTGCAGTTATCGGCCTGCTGAAGCGAAGATTGTGCGGTTGTGGGTTTGGTGGACCAAAGATTTCGAATTTATGGGCCTGCTCAGTTATCTACCAGAGTATCGACCAATCTGAAGCCCTGCATCACGATTACAGAGATGTGGACTTTGCCTTACGACATGATCCTTCATTGCTGTGAGAACTAATCGTACCCTCCACGCTGCTTTAGGAGCGTTGTCTCTGTCGACAGGCCTCAATCTGCAATATGCTCCAGCCTTCGGTCGCTTGTGATAGTAGAAATCACCTAGTGGATATTGCTAGATAGTTTTTCTTCACCGCTAATGGCTCTTGTCACGTTGACTGGTTTTCGAAGTTCTGTTTCTCGTGCTATCTTCTTTCTCAACGACGGAGCGGAGCAATTGGTCCACAAGAACTGCAGGCAAATGCCGAAACGTGGTGGGGGCACACTCACCGTTGTGGTGTCTGTCCGAAGTGCATGAGCAGCCTTCCACTTCTGGGTGGCTAGGGTCACATGTAGCCGAAAGCATTACCTTCGCCCACGGCAGGAAGCCACTAAGGCCTGAAATGCCTATGCTGAGACATTTTTGTTCAATGTCGGTACTCCGTGTCCCCACGAGTGCGTGTGAAACATAACCATATCCAATGGTAATGTGCTTCCCTAGGCACTGGGTAGACATACACAAATTTAGGAGCGAATTCGCCAAGAGCTCCGTGGTCATATCCCGGCACGGTTTCTCCGATGGATATATACACGTTAACGGCTGAGCAGGAGGTTGAAATTGACTTTGCAGTATGCGTGCAAGGTTTCGACCGTTAAGATGCACGGCTTGTTGCTGCTCAAGATCGGACATCATTTCCGCGGGCGTACTGCCACGCTCCGTACCACTTGGGCGTCTACATACAGTAGAACTGGTGCCGAGATGTGCCTGCAGGCGGCGTGGCTTCCTCTGGAATAAGCGGCCGCCCCTCGCACCTGATTTTGGGCATCTTCACATGGCTAATTGATTCAGGCAAGCGTTCGCCTCTCACAGTAATCGTTGAAAGGATCTGGCGCTCAGTCTAGCTTCCGGCAAGAGATGCTTCTTGATATTGAGCGACACGAGTGCTGGGGACACGAGATCAGTTTGGGCCCAGCACCAATGCAAGCAAGATTCAATGAACCGTCGAGGTTGAGGTGCAATGAAGACTCAAGCATCAGTGTTGTCATTGGCAAGCTCGGTTAATGATCTGCTAGCTAGCACAGTTCGGGATTCTCATCGTCCCGGTCGTCAAGATGTGTGGGACAACAGTCACCTCCTAAATAAGTCTTCTATCAGTTGTCACCCCTGGGCCTCCTCACTTACCACCCTTCATCTCTGAGACACGACCGCATACTGCAAGTCATGTTATTGCAGTACTCACTTTGGTTCACCTTTGCTTGACCAGAAGGTGAGCTCCATGTGAAAATATCGCCAGAACTCACCGTGACTTCAGATTCACTTGTTCTACTGCCCAACAAGGGTCGTATAAATCTAACTGATTGCTTGAAACTCGTTCCAAAAGCCAGGCATCAAGCCTCGCTCCTTCACCGATCGATCGTTCTGTTTCTCCTTTGCCTGACCATTTCTTTTGTCCTTGACGGACTTGCTGCCATCAGTATTGCTTCATGCCGCCGCGCGTTGCAGTTGGAACGCCGACAAAGATGCTGTCATCAGGGCACTCTTTAGTGCCATCCATTTTACGTCGCCTCCTTCTGGCCTCGGTTGTTGCTTTTATCGGCCATACACATGCAAAATTCCTGAAAGGTAAGCATACTTCCAGCACCCGATGACGCGCTGATTGTGCCAGCGGATCTCAAATGGCCAGTCTTCTGGAAGCCTCACAATGAACTTCAGCCAAGCCTCACCGACGTCCTCGCTCTTCGAGAACCAGACACCGATCCTGTATTCGAGAAGGCCATGCACATGGTGACCACTCTTGCCACGCAGTCGACCTGTCACCAAGCAGCAGCAGCTCAGTTGCTAGTCACATGCAAAACTGTGGGAGCGAACATGGCCCAGGAGGATGGCAAACATGAGCTGCTAGAAAGAGCCAAGTCAGTCTACGCAGTGCGGGTGGCTGTTTGTGAGACTGGCGAAGGTCGAGCAGAAGTTCCATCGGCGTGCAAATCCATCCTCACCATTCCCCAGCGGCTTGATCATGAGATAGACGTGGTCAGCAGCCGAACTGTGGCTCCTTGTCTCGGAGCGTTGATGGAGGAACACTATTACTGGACAAGCTATAGCAACAACAAGCAAGACGCCAATACGTTGTGTCAAGCGAGTACCCTGGAATCTACGAGGCTGGAGGCGCTTCATTCTTACCAGAAGCTCGCGGAACTTCTCCCTGAATTTCGGATTGCGCTCAGTTCCACTCGGTCTCAGTGGTTGGACTTCCTAAGACAGCAGAAGGAAGAGGTTCAGCATGTGCACAAGCTTCAGCGCCAATATCGTGATGGACTTCAAGCACAGCAGAAAGTCGAGCTTGGTTCGTTTCGTGAATCCATGAAAGTCGCCAAGAATGGCCTACTTGATATTTCTGAAGGCCTACATCAGGCACTGGCGAGCACTGACTCTGACATTTCACAAGCTCGCGAGGTGCGTGATCATGCAGCCACACCGCGGAATCTGCTAACTGATCAACGAAGGCTCTCCGAGGTGTCCTGGCCGATTTCACAGGCTTGAAAATGTTGCTGCAAGAGACGGCCGCCAAAACGAGTGAAAACAACGCGGAATTGGTTGCTTCTCAAACACGAGATATTGCCAATGTCCACGATCTGGCTCTGTCAGCGACTCGAGCGCTGGAGAATGTACATGTAGAGGCATTTGCCGAGGTATGGCTATGCTACTCTGGCTGAAGTCGGGGACTAACAAAAGCTAGGATGTCCACGGACTCGTTCATCAGCTAAAGACCAATCTCGACCAGATGGCCGGTATCCAGTCCATGCAGCTAGACGATACGCTGCATCACTTCGAGCTCAGCAAGGAGTTGTCCTCGGCCCAGGAAGCAAACCTCGTTCTGGGACAGCGGATCAAGGATTCCGCTGGTTCTATAGCATCCGAGCTCGAAAATGCGCATACTGCTGCCGGACGGGTGTCCACCAAGCTTGACAGAGTCAACCAGGCATTGGCGCATATCGAAGCAGCAACTGCTTCTCTCGGCACCTTTTTCGCCATCATTACCATACCGTGTCAAATGGTCGGACGCCTCCACCTTAGGCTGCTTGCACTTTTCGCGGCACCGGCTTCAATGCTGCTGTTCTGGAAGCCGATGAAATATTCTTGCACCGTGATGGCCACTTATAGTACGGAAACTGATATGCCTCCATGCTAAGGTGTATGCTGATAGCCTACAGCCTTCCTTGAGACCATGATATCATTGGCTCACGAAAATCGAGTCACGGCGTCGACAGCTCTGGCGCGCCTCGGCCACCATTCTCGAGCTATAACACAATCTGGAACGATCGCCTTCCACAACAGCGTGGTTGTCGTTGTGGCCGCGATTGTGACCATCTTCTGCTGCTACTGTCTGCTTGCTATACGGACTCGACCGAAGCAGAAATCGAGACCAAAACCAAAACCAATACATTCTTTGACTTTCAAATCTATCCAGAGGCTTGACGAGTTAACGGCTTCAGAACGGAACTATGACATTTACAGACTGCGGCATGGCAAAAGGCAATGGCGACTGGCGGACAAAGTCCCTCGCGCGGCCACTGTCTGCTAGGATTGAGACAAACAGTACACGGGCAAGGCTCGCATCCCTACGACTCGCGTGGCAAGGTGGACTACGCATGATGCATGACTCTACGACTTTGAGTTCTCCGATTTGTTGCAGACATATGGAAGCGATTTGCCTCTCCCTGCATGCTGGTGCGAGATCTGTCCTTTGATTTCGCGTCATTTGATGACCGGCCTCGTCCCATGCGTGCGGAACTGGCTGGGGTGCACATGCCTAGGTAGTCGAGCACGCAAGAGCTCGAATGAATTGACTTCTAAAAGCATCAATCTTTTAGCTCCATTTGCAAAACCGGACTGGTGGTTCCAACTAGTGACTTCAATGGCAGTGGCTGTACCTAGCGACCTTCGACTACCCCGTCAGCAGTAGACGTTCGGTGATCTGTACTGGCTTGGTGGCGGTGGATAAGCGAGCTGAGAGTTGCGGGTTACTTCGTAATTATAGTACGCAGTACGGAGTACTTAGTTTCTGATCTGCCGGGACAGAGATCTTTACCGCATTTCATAAGCAAATATACAGTACCAAAAGTACCAAATATGCATATCAAGCTTGCAGCTTTCATGCCCGTGCAGAAGCTTATGTTGAACTGTTCGGCGAATGATGCTCTTCGTGACCGGGTTCTCCCACGGGTTGGTTCTTCGGCTCGAGGGGCTCTCACGGCTGCGCCTGCTACGTGGCTTCACCACCTAAGGACAAGTGCATTGAGGAACAGAAGGCCTGTAAACTGTGAGATCAGCCTAGTACGGCCGCACTCGGTACCCAGGAATTGAGTAATTATGACACCACCGATAATGATGCTTGGTAGGCACCGGGCAGGGCACAAAGGGGCACCGAGGATTGATTGGCATGCTTCAATTCACCACTCGAAGCCATGCGGATACGTAGCGACACTCTCAGCTGAACTGGACGCCTAACGCCTGCAAAGCCCCTATAATCCTAATTAGCAATTGCACATGTCCTGCCGAGCTTCAGGTACAACAGCGCTCGATACAGTGACCCTCCTTTTAGGCCCCCCATCCAGGGCCCATGCCCCGCGCACAGTAGGTTCTTTGAGCTTTGACTGCAAGGACCAATGCCTTTACCTCCCCTGCAACAGCGGCACGAAGGGGCCATTCAGCTCCTTGCCAATCAGCTCACTCGGGCACATGTCCACCATGCGATGTGTCTGCAGCCCTACGCGATGAGGAAGGACTTTACGAGCGAGGCCTGGTCTCGTCCCTGGTCTGCCTTGCCATTGCCACGAGCTGAATATGAAGATCTCGATATAAGCTACAGAATGTACTTCGCAATGTGACGGTAAGTTTCTCACTTTCAGACTCTGTATGGGCTCCTTTATCAAGACAACGTCGCGAGTTTTATCCAGTCGTACTCCGTACTCTGCCCAAACCTTGGATTGGGCGAATTTGCGCAACGCACGCTTGAAGCATAAACGACCACAATGATCACCAGTCCAGTAACGGTCCTCACGGCCATCGTCTTGCTTGCGACTTCCACGCTGGCTGCAGAGGCGCGCAATTCTTCACAGACGGTCATATCCAATGCTGCCGGCGACACAGCAATTGATCCGGTCAAAGTGAACAGATATAAATCTCTCCTAGGTAAGTGTGTGATTGCGCGACACCGGTCTCCAAGTTATATTTACATCATTGCAGGCACGTTCCACGCCGGCGACGAGAAATTCAACGACTTTTTCAGATGGACCGACATCCTCGACGAATACCAGCCTCCCAACGCCGATTGTTCGGCAAGATGCTTGACTTGCGCGCCGGGGTGTAATCCCAGCTGTTGCGCCTGTGGCAGCTCGCCAACAACCGACACCACCAGCGACAGCGACAGCGACACTTCCGGCGTCTCGGACCGATTGCCACAACTCCCAAGGACTCCAGGGCCACGATTTCCCGGCCGCCCTGTGATCCCGCCGCTCTCCTGCCCATGCCACTGTGAAGCGGACTGTCCCCGAAACATCCAAACAATCTGCTGCTTTACTCCAGGATCGCGATCAGACGCGTCACCGGCATCGAGAGCCAACTCTGCATCAAGCGATTCTCAAGGGACAGAACCACTCGAGTCCACCATCGAAAACGACGCCGCAGGGCCCCAAAAATCACTCCTCGACAAAATCCGGCCCTCCCACCCTCGCGGTCGGACAGGGGGCCGCCCCGACCGCCCGCTGGCTTGCCCTTGTTTCTGCGAACCCACCTGCCCGCCGTACATCCAGACGATATGCTGCACGACGCCCGGCTCCGGGTTAGCGGGCAACGGAAGAAATCAGCACGAAATCGAGACTGTCAAAGCGCCCAAACTCCACGACACATTGGCCATGATTACCGCCTCAGCACCGCACGGGGAGGGGGAGCCCGTCTCGGTCCTCGCGGCCGTGAATTTGACAGGCATTGACAGCTTCATCACGTTCAACCTGGTGCAGGGTCTCGGGCGGACCGACGAGATCGTGCACAATGCCCAGGCCGGGACGTTTGGAATCACCTTGCCCGTGGTGGTTGGGGCGGAGGACAAAGGCAAGGAGACCGCATTGGCGCAGACGTTCGTCGTCATTGACGGGTCGAGACTGTTGGAGGAGGAGCAAGTCCTTCTGGGTTCCGGGTTCGTCTCCCGCGCTGGTGGGCTGAAGGTTGATCCGGGGTTTTTGACGCCGTTGCAGGAGGGGGTGCCTGTTTTGACGGGCGTGCAGACGACGGAGGAGTGATGGACGGATTGAAAGAAGGAGGAGGAGGAGGAGGAGGAGGAGGATAGCTGTAAGTGAGCGTGGAGTTATATATTACGTATTGCGTATCATATCCAAGTGTTGCCACCCGCCTGGAAATATTCGGACGCTGACGCTGGCCGCGGATCAAGGATGAAAACGACAGCCCAAGGGTAATGAGACGTTGACAAACTACACCAAGAACGTGGTGAGAATGGAGGGGGTAATAATATAGTAAGTAGATGGTGGATAAGGCGGTAGGCCGTGGATACCGCCGTCACTCTCGTGGTGCGTCCCATCTGGGCCTGTATGATGCGGTGTTGATGCGGCTGTGAGTACAGTAATTACTTAGTACTAGAACCGGCGAGAGTCTTTGACGGTTATATCGTACAAATTATACCCAAGGATTTACAGTCTAAGCCACTCTGCATCTCGACCGTGATCACGACACAGCGATGAGCGCAATCTCGTGATTGAAGAACCCCGCACGGATCTGGCGAGGAATCTCGCCCGCAAGATTCTTCGCACCGTCCGCACATCCGCCTGATTTCAAGGTAGATATGGCGCATAACACACGCGTCTCTCACTGCCACTGCTCCGCTCCTGTTAAACCAGACTCTTCAGAACAAACCCACTCCTCGGATTCCCCTCGACCGCCACTCTCATGGTCTCGCCCCTAATCTTGGTCTCATCAAACACTCGATGGCTGTCCTGTGCCCTCCCACCCACGTCCACGTCCACGGCCCCTCTTTCCACGCTGACGTCCCTAAAAGCGTGCAGCCCCAACGCGGGTAGCGAGAATCGAAACGCGAGATCCCGCACATCCACCGTCCTCAGAGCGCGGTACGCGATCACGGCACAGACGCACCCAAAGACAATGTAGCAGCAACACCCTGCGACCAGGATGGCGAGTGGAATCTTGGGCACCTTGGCCACCAGCAGCGGCGTGCGCATTTGTTCCTGCACATTTGCCCGGCCGGAGAGAAACGGTCCGATGACGGACATGATGCGTGAGGAGTAGCTGTTGGCGAAACTGTCGGCCAACGCCTGTGCGGTGGGTTGCAGCGCGGCCTCGAGGATGAAATCCTGCAGGTCGTTGTCGAAGCTGTCACTTGCGCCAACGATGTTGTAGCCGTGGAACATCTCCGCCATGGTGCCATTGGGCGACGGCGTGAGCGTGCGGACCTTGGCAGTCGAATTCACCCAGGCATAGTCGACGAGGTAGGTCGTGTAGCGGCAGCGGAGCGTGAAATCCAGGTAGCGAGTCGGGCCGCGATAAATGCCCGGGTCGGAGGACATGTCGACGCCGGCACGCTGGGCTGTGTCCTGAAATCGGGCCGCCACGCCCAGGTACACAGGGTTGATGAGTTGGGCATCAGACATGAATGGGCCAAGGTTGCCATGTGAATCGTAGGGGATGACCAGTTCTTTGTCCATAAAGAAAGAGTACTGAAGCGCGGCTCCGGGTTTGAAGCCGAGCGGGGGGATGGAGCTGTCGTCGCCGAGCATACCTTTGTCAGTGAGGTTGGGGGCTTTGCCCAATACGCCCCAGAAGTTTTCGCTGCAGTTGAACGAGCTCCAGTATTGGCCCGGGCCTTCAGAGATCCAAGTGCACTGGGAACTGATGGGCTCGCACGTTGTTATAACGCCCGCAGTATGGGCTTGGAAGTCGCGGAAGGGAGACAGGTTCGCGCTCTGGGGTGTTAAGAGCGCGACCTTCGCGGCGCCGGCGGAAGTGGTGTTCGATGGCAGGGAGGGGGGCGCGCCAACGAGGCGAATCTCGCTCAAATTGGAGGTGCCCCGTTGGAGGTAGAAGATCTCGTTCTGGCCTGCCACGTACGCATCATAGTCCGTGGCGCCGATGACACCGTTCCGGGTGCACGGCAGTCCAAAGTTCTCCGTACGATTTAGTGCAAGACATTGTGACGACAATTCATATCCGTATGCGTGGCTCTCCCGAGAGACGGTCACTTGGTCGAAATTGATGGTCGAGGTCGTGTAATGCAGGGCAGTATCGGCACCGAAGACAATGCAGGCCAAGAGCAACGTCAAGGCCAGAGTGCGTGCGGCACGACGGAGGACTGGTGGAACAACGACGCCATCTTCTCGGGAGTAGGAAAGATACCTCCCCAACCTGCCCGTCGATGCTAAACAAAGCCCGACGAGAATGCTATACTGGTATGGCGTCGGGAGGTCTTGTTGCTGGTCGCCGCTCGAGGATTGCCACATTATGAGTGCGTACTGAAAGCTTGTGAGGCTCATGATGAAGCCAGCCAGCAAAGGCGCAAGTGTCGACGCCCAGGAAGCGACGAATGCTATTCGCGTTGCCGAATAGTTCACCAGCACGACAGCATGATTGTTCAAGGTGTGAGAGTTGGAGACTTCCTCGAAGAGGCTCGCCTCGGATCTGACTCTGTAGCCGAAGATTAAGGCCAATAGCCCTGTGACAAGGCAAGCCATCGGCAGGATGATGATCGAGGTCGGCAAAAGGATCGTCTTCCATAGTGTCCGCTTCAGGCATCCAAGATCGTGGTCTGTCGGCGAAGTGGAATAGTACTTCTGGGTCAAGGGCCAATTGCGGGCTTGGCCAGAAGACGTGTCATCTAGAACAGTCACTTTTTCACCCTTTGAAGTGTCGTAGGCAAATGTCGACGCCTGAAAAGATGCCTGCGACCATGCCGAGTCCGGTGTCGCGTGGGTGTAGCTGGTGACATCCTCGCTAGATGGCAGGCATGTATGGTAAATCTGCGATTGTCTTTCTCTCGGTCGGCCGAAAATTGCGTGCGGCGGCTGTACTCCTAGAGGAGTGCCGAATGACCAGAAGGGATTCTTGGAAGCCATGTTGGGGATTTGCGATCACCTCTAGCAAGCGATATCCCTCCTCCTCTGTCTCGGATTCCTTATTGACGATGGTCGCCGGTTGAGCTCGACGACAAAGAAAAACCATGCTTGCCATGCACGAGACAGTACTTTTCTAGCCATATGTGGCGGCGGAAGATGCACATGCAAAAGTGCATCAGGAGCACGCGCAATCATGGGCGATCTGTGGCTAGGCGAAGGAGAAAGCTGAAAGTCCGGTTCAACTTGCTAGTGCGCCAGCCTGCCGGTGTTGCATGACCGCGAACGGTTGCTGGTTGCCTGGTGCCAGGCCAGCGCGAATAGAATGGAGTGGAAGGTAGCCAGAAGCCAAGACGTTTTTCCGAGCTGCAGTCCTGACCGGTGATTCGCATGTGGAAGGCGACCAAGCCCAGCCGTACGCCTCGCGTGGCATCGGCGTAGAATATGGCGTACTTTGCAAAGCAGACAGCGTGAGGCCGAGTTTGAGATAGCAAAGACTGAGGAGAAGTCTCTGTACGAATCAGCGGGATAGAAGAAGGCTTCGCTTGGTTGACGTTGATCCGGCCCCCAACGCCCCCAACGACCCTATCAGCATTCCGCACAGTAGTCGATCCGAGGATGATCCACACACCGTCAAAAGGACCGCCAAGTATCGCAGCCCGACCAGACACTAGGTTTGAAGAACTCTCCTCCATGGTTGGCCTGACATTTCGTTCGTTGCGGGTGTACTGTTCCTCGAGCCACATAAGTCCGAAACGCCAGGAGCAAGACGGCTGAGAATCATATACAGCGCCACAATGTCCTGCCTGAGATACAATTTTTCAGCTGCCTTGTACTCTTTAGCTTTGTGCATAATGCAGTGGCACATGTAGTCTCCTATACTTTGAAGTCATAAGTCTGCCGAATTCATAGCGTTGGCGCCTTCGTATCATCAAACGCTCCAATCTCTCCAATCACGGTCTTCAAGATATCCGGCAAAATAACTGCTGCGTCTCCTTCGAAGAACCAGTCATTCTTTGTGAGCTCCCGCGCATCGCCCCTGTCCATGTTGATGACAGCGACACGCGCACCCTTGGTTCTAGCGATGTTCGTGTAGCCAGCAGCAGGATAGACTTTGGCGCTTGTACCAATCACCAACATGAGATCAATCTTCTGACGGTTGGAAAAGTATGCGTCCACGTCGCTCATCACGTCTTCGGGTAGCGACTCTCCGAACCAGACGACCCCTGGACGGAGGAGGTTCTTTTTGCAGGATGGACATTGGGGCAGATCTTCAGGCTTCAGTTCGGGAATATCGACGTTGATGTCTGAGATATCGGCGCCTCGGAGTAGGGCATGCTTCTTCCTCTCGGCGGCGGCCTTGAGTTCAGAGTCTGGATTTTCTGCGGGAAGGGCCAAGGCGGGAACGATGGGGTCGCTGAAGTCGTTCTTGCGCGAATAGCCACAACCGCCTTCATCCCAGCATTTGACGTCGAATAGATTTCCATGCAGTAGCTTAAGCTGGTTTGCAGGATGGCCAGCACGAGGGCTCAGACCGTCGATGTTCTGGCTGAGGGCGATGAAGTCGGGATTCCGGCGGGCGAGTTCTGCCAAGGCCAGATGAGCGCGGTTTGGTTTAGCATTGAGGGCCATGTGCCGTCGGTAGGAATAAAACTGCCATGAGAGACCTGGATCTTGCCGAAAGGCTTCGGGTGTAGCTAGCATCGTGGCATCGAAGGTTCTCCACAGGCCGCCAGCACCTCTGAACGTAGGCAGCCCGCTTGACGCACTGAGACCGGCGCCCAAGAGAGCAACAATGCGGCGAGAGACCTGTAGGTGTTGGACAAACGAGGCAACATCGGTCAGAGGCATCTCGTTGGCAGCACCTGAGCTCATTTTCAGGACAACAGTGATAGCTCAACCTCTTGTGAATTAGAGACGTGAGAGGGGTGGGTGGTTGTTGGTTCGGAGCGGAAGGAGAAGGAACAGGCACTGTAATGAGGGAGACGCACTCCTAACTTAGGCGCCCCTGAGCAAGAATGTTTGCTATGCAATCAGGCAGCACTCACCGCCAGACAAGGCTATACGGAAGCCTCGTTTGGCGAGGTGCTCACCCGGTGTCCATCACTTCCATCACCGAGTCTGCGGAGGTGTCGGTGAAGTGCCAATGAGAGTCGAGGCCATCAAGGTTACGGCGGTTACATAACGAGAACGACACGCTGTGGACGGAATGGCGGCGGGGAAGAAGCCGCCTATCATTCTGTCGTGAAGCGGCCACATGGCTTGCGATATGCGGTCACACATTCCTGCGTCCGCCAGTCCATCTGTTGATCCCATCTTTCAAGACAGCCACGACAGCAAACAATACGGCTCACTCCCTCTGCTGCCTCCACGATCGATGGTCCCTCAAGCGAGCCCACAAATCCTCCGACCGAATCGCTGACCCCGGTTTCTCGACTTGTCCTCCACTCGCCCTCACCGATCACCACCTTGCCACCGATGCCTCACAGGCCAAGGTTATAACACTGTTGGTTGCCCCTTCCCAATTCTACTCCCTTCCTCTACCAGAATCGCCGTGTCCTCGAAATGGGGGTGCCAGCGAGACCCCGCCCAAGTCGCAGGCGGGTCAATGCTCTTCTCTACGTGACCGAGAAGATCGGGCCTGAAGTCCTCCCATACCTCCTCCAGAACCCCGACCTGAACCTTCGCGTTATTTCCGAATGCTCCAAAGCCGAGTTCCAGCAGTACATGGATCCAAGTGTTGACTTGGAGGACGTGCATTGGATTGAGAACCGACCGCAAGACCCATACCGCAACCAAGTCATGATGCAGGGACACCGTCTCTCCCGATGGGCCGATCTCTTATTCATCGTCATGGATGCCGGAATGATCTCCCTCATGCTCAGCGGCTTTACCACAGATGTCATTCTGCACGTGCTCAGGTGCTGGGACGTCTCAAAGAGGATAGCACTATTGCCTGAGATGAGTGTGGACCAGTGGAAACACCCTACCTGGAAGAGGCAGTTGAACAAACTTCAACGGAAATGGGACTGGGTGCATGTGCTTTCTCCCGCACTGTGGGACTACGCCGAGGACCCCGTTGATTTTACCACGCCGGGCCCGAATCCTCTCGGACACGACAGTGAACCTGAAATTGAATGGCAGTGGGATGGCCCGGGAGACATCATTGAAGAGGTGGAAAGCGAGGCACAAGCGGTGCTGCGATCAACCCAACTCAAGACGAATTCATCCATGTCACATCTTCCCATTCACAAGTCGGCCTCCTCTAAACCATCACTGCCGAGTGAGATTTGGACTATGATACTTGACTACCTGGGAGATTGGGAACTGGCTACCGCACTGGGCATCTATACACATCTCTCCGTCCCGCACGAATGGGAGTCTCTAGTCCCCAAGCCAGGCTCCAAAGCACGTTCACTAGAGTACACTATCCTCACCCAACCCCTCGCTCTGATCCAGAAATACTTCGCAAACACTTCCTCCAACCCGCCAACAACGCTTTCCCCGATCGCAACGCGCCTCATCTTCCGCTTCTCCATGACCGACCTCTTGACGTACCTGGCCCTGCAACAAAAAGACATCTTCTGGACTTCCTTCGGCCTCGCCCTTCTCCCCCACAAAGCCTCCCTGATCTACAACTCCCCCACAATCCTACAATGGTGGAAAGACTGCCCGGCCGTCATCAAGAAAGAATACGGTCCCGAAGCCATGGACGGCGCCTCTCGAGCCGGCTTCGTCGAAGTCTTGGACTGGTGGCTCAACTCGGGCCTCAAACTGACATACACGGAGAAAGCACTTGAGTCCGCCAGCGCCAAGGGCCACGTCGAGGTTCTCGAGTGGTGGCGCATCAACTCGCAAAAGCTCGCCGGCACAGACCGCGAGATCCATCTCAAAGTCGGCAAATCGATCCTCCTAGCAGCGCAGAGCGGGCGCACCAATAGCATCGAATGGTGGGAGACAAGCGGCATCCCGTACGCGCATGAAGACGGCGTGGCTCGCCTCGCGTCCCAGCACGGCCATGTCCCCGTGTTGGAAATGTGGTTCGGCTTCAAAGGCAACAAGATGATCTTTGATAACCAGGTCCTCGTCGGCGCGACGAAGAATGGTCACGCCGGTGTTTTGCAATGGTGGAAGGAGATGTCCAGGAAGAGCGGCCTACGGGTCGAGTACAAGACGTGCGATATTGAAGAGGCCATGGAGGATGCCGTCGGCGGTGGAGGTGAGGGAGAGGTGAGAGAATGGTGGGGCCGGAATGGCTTGAATTTGGGCGTGGGTACAGGGGAATGGATGAGGGTGAAGACATTGTAAACTGCTGAGCCGGATCATGACACTTTCCAATTACTTACAATGTATGGTGTTCCGGCACAGGCACAACCGGAATAAAGGGACCTGGAAGGGATGAAATGGGACGAAATGGAATGAAATGAGCCACATGGCGACACGCCCAACTTCACGACATCAAAATGCCTCACATTACAGAATTGTCACTGGCGTCGCGTTTACATATCTGTATCTGTCGACACCGGGATCCAAGTTCGGCGTAAAAGATTCATCACTACGTACACTACTTCTCTCTGCCTGGTTTTCGACGAGGAACGAGAACTTCTGTCTCAAGCATGCGTGAGCTCTTCTAGGTCTCAGTGTCTGGCATTGAGTCAGCAAAGCTGTATCGATCCAATTACCCCCCCC